CTAGGGCTTGGTTTGAAAGATTCACTCAGGCGATGTTTAAATATGGCTTCAAACAGAGTCAGGCAGATCACACATTGTTTGTGAAACATTCCTCACACGGTAAGACTACAGCATTTATTGTTTATGTAGATGACATAGTTCTTACAGGCAATGATAGTGGGGAAATACCTCTGTTGAAGAAATATTTAGCTAAAGAGTTTGAAATCAAAGACTTGGGCAGCTTGAAGTATTTTCTGGGAATTGAAGTTGCTCGCTCTAAAGATGGGATATTTATCTCACAGAGAAAATATGCGCTTGACCTGTTGAAGGAAACTGGGATGCTTGGCTGCAAGGCATGTGCCACCCCCCTGGAACCCAATCAGAAATTAGGAGATGATGAAGGAGGAGAAGTTGTGGATAGGGGGAGCTATCAACGATTAGTGGGTAAGCTCATTTACCTATCTCACTCCCGTCCTGATATTGCTGTTGCTGTCAGTATAGTTAGTCAGTTTATGCATGCTCCTCATCAGATTCACCTTGAGGCTGTCATGAGAATCTTGAGGTATTGGAAGTCTGCTCCTGGTAAGGGTCTGTATTTTTCAAAGTATGATCATCTTCGTGTAGAAGCCTATACAGATGCTGACTGGGCTGGGTCAGTAACTGATAGGAGATCAACTTCAGGGTATTGCACATTTGTTGGGGGCAACCTAGTTACTTGGAGGAGTAAGAAACAGAATGTGGTTGCCAGGTCAAGCGCAGAAGCTGAGTTTAGAGCTATGGCACAAGGTGTGTGTGAACTTTTATGGATCAAATTATTGTTGCGTGATCTAGGTATTGATCAGACGGACTCCATGCGGTTATACTGTGATAATAAGGCCGCCATCAACATCGCTCACAATCCAGTTCAACATGACAGGACAAAACATGTTGAGATTGATCGCCACTTCATTAAGGAGAAACTCACTAGTGGTATCATTTGTACTCCCTTTGTCCAGTCTGGTGAACAACTTGCTGACATTCTCACCAAGGGGATTGGGAATAAACCATTTCATGACATATTAGGCAAGCTGGGCATGAGAGATATCTTCGCACCAGCTTGAGGGGGAGTGTTAGCATATTATATTAAGTGTTAGCATATTATATTAGCCGAAAGGTTCACTAGGGTCTGCCTGTAATCATTTTATGCACTCAGGGATAGCACTCAGGGATCATCTTGTAATTGCATTTCTTGTAAACCCTAAATCTTCATTTATAAGTAGGGGGTGATATTCTATCATTCCTTAAGCTGGTTACCCAAGCTTCAGTATCTTCATATGGCTTTGACCATTTGATAAATAAAAACTAAACAAAAAGAAAATATAATTTTTTTTGTTGACTGTCATCTTTGCTTCCAATCATGAGCCAAAGTTGCATCCTCATATGATCTAGTTTGATCTATCACTACCATTGCACCATCGCCGCACCATCAGTGTACCTTTGTTGCTTTTTGTTGTCCTCTCTACAGTCACACTGCCTTACTGTTATTGAAAGCTGTCTGTCATTTGTTGGATTCTCATCATGCCTTCACCGGATTCTGACGTTGTTTAGTCAGTTCGTCACAAGCCATTGCTGTTGTTTGTCTTTTCCATCAACAATCAACCTCTTGCTGCTGTTTCTGTATTGAAAGCCCATTGCAACACCCTACATTGGTTACGCATATCGCTGAGTCTCCTTGCATCTTGCTAATTTCGTAGATTACTTCGCTGACATTACATCCCCCCTGTTGTAGCATATTTGGACTTTTGAAGTGCTTTGCCAACTTGAGATACATCTGTGGGAGCAAATTACCATTCCCACTCTCCAGAGGAGAATTTTTTCCAGCTGGGGACAGTTGATGGGGATCGTGAAGGTGTTGGAGAAGTAAAGCTCATGGATTTATATTAGTATTGTTTATTTATTGATTTGTTGGAGTTTTATTGTTTACTTAGTCATTTTTATTTTTGGTTAGTTTTTTTTTATGCTGTGTTTGGTTGGGGGATTTGAGGAGGGATTTGGAAAGGGAAATGGAAAAGGTATGTAAAATGTGAATAAAACATACCTATATTTCGCCTAGTTTCACACACTTTTTTCCCTTTCCCTTTTCAAATCTCTCATCAAATCCCCCAACCAAACATAGCATTAGGGTTTTGGAGTTGCCTATAAATAGCTTCTATTGTACTGAGTTGGGATGCTTTTGATGAATGAAAATTAAATTTCTCCGTTGACTTTTTTTGTTTTGTTTTTGTGTAGACTTTAAACAACCTAGGTGGTGATTCCTAGGTTTCATTTCTTATTCTTCTTTAATCTTCTTCTTGATTCTCCTTCTTAACTCTCTCTATTCTTCTCCTTTTGGTTGTCCGGCGTCAGTCAGGTTATAGTGTTTGGTATTGTTATGCTTGTAACATGTTGATTCTGGTTCAGCCTTTTGCCAGTTAAAAACAGAATGTCTTTTTCAATGTGAATTTGTAATAAGCATTATATTTCTGCAGAATTATGTAATGTCCGACATGGAAGAATGGTATTGAGTCCATGGAAATTAATGCTTGTGATGAATCATTACATTTCTAACTTCAATCTAGCAAGCCAGCAGGTGAATTTTTTTCGTGATCTATATTTTGAACGATTTGGAGTAATTATATGACCTGCTGCCTAATGTGTTGTTGTTTGTGTGTAGGATGCTGAAGAAGCATTCTTTCATATTTTGTCTTCTTTAAGAGAAGAAGTTTCAAATTGTTATGTTCCAATTTGTAGCTCTCTGGCAGACGTGTCTGCCATTCGTAACTGTAGGATTCTTCATCCAGAGAGGGGGGTGGATCAAAGTGAGCAGGAAAGATGGCAACGAAGTTTCTTAGGGCCTTTTGATGGAATTCTTGGCAGCAATTTAACTTGTGAAAGCTGTTCGTTTCAGGTTGAATGGTACTCATAAGAATGTTTCTGAACTGAGTTGCTTCTGATTGGTCTTGCTTTTATTATAGCATATATGAACAAATCTCTATTGCATGTGAAGGCCTGAAAGTCAAGTAGGTTATTGGTGGCTAATGTATGCATGGAATGTTAGCAATTGGATCAATTTTCTTAGAAAGAACTGATTATGAAATCCTACCATTTAATTAACTGGATCTATATTTGCTCTTTGGATGCTGTGACCTATGAACTACAACTATGCCATCTGTATTGATTTTTCTTATGGAAGATCTCTTTATTTTACATCACATTCACATGGCACTCTTTGTTTTTTTATTTCATGCTCAGTAACTTTGTAAATTGAGTAATAATTAAAATATATATTACTTTGTTCATTTTGCAGATCTCTCTGGATTTTCAATTTTTTCATAGCTTGCATCTTTCGCCCATGCTTAGTAACGGTGGTAACATTGTATGTTTATGTGAGATTCTTGTTATGTGTTTAAACCTTACTTGTTTCCATCTTTGTGGTGATGTTTTTCAATAATAAATACATTACCTTTCTTCTGTTTTTGCATGTAATCCTAGATGCCAAGATGTTCCTTGGAGGATTGCTTGAAGCAATTCTTTGTGGCAGAACGACTTGAGAATTACTGCTGCAGCCACTGTTGGCATGTTGCTGCAATGAAGTACTTATCTTCAATGGCTGAAAATGAGGTAATCTTCTGTTACAAATGCTATCATTTTTTTACTACTCAGTCCTCAGTTCATTACTAGCTCACTTGCCAAAACCACCTTATGGCACTTGCATGATATGGTTTCAATTGAAGGGTCTTTACTTCTTATTATCCCATTCTCTTGTATAACTAAGTTAAGTCTGGTCCTTTTATTGAGTTCCTAATTTTCTTGATATTTCATCTTGAGCTTTTTCTAAATTATAATGGCTTTCTGAGGTTGTCTTATGTGGTTTTGGTGCCTTTCTTGTCAGACAGATATTGGAAAACTTAGGCGGTGTTGTGAGCTAGAAGGTTCTTGTGACTGCAAAAATCTTCCGCTTCTTGAAGCACTGCCATGGTCAAACAGTTTTTCACATACTTTCAAGCAACTAAGTATTGCACGTAGTCCGAAGGTACAAAACGTATTCTTTATAGTTGTTAAACTTCCTCTCATAATTTCTACTTTCAAGTTCATCTTGAACAACCATGTTCTTACCAAAACAAATTTTCTGATTGATGGAGCAATTAAGCAAATTGAGACTCTCAGATATATAGTTCATGAAATTTCTACTACAAAGAGACTCCTTATAGGGAGAAATCAAAATACACAACCATGCTCATCTCTAATTTCTACTATAAAAGAACTAGAATAGGAGAACAATTCATGTTTTAGTATTCATTCCAAGAAAATAACACAAAGAACCATAGATATACATGTGAGTGGTGTTTTTAGTATTCATTCCAAGAAAATAACACAAAGAACCATAGATATACATGTGAGTGGTAGAAACCCCCTGCCTCAAGGCTTGAAATGATACTAAGACGAAAATCCATTCGGGTAGAATCAAAGCTCTCGAGAAGCTCTACAACTCCTCTTCCTGCTCTAGAGATCAACTCCACGTCTTTGATGTTCAAAATCTAGAGAGAAGTTTAGGGTAGGGTTTTGGGTGTGAGAGAGAAAAGGAGAAAGAAGAAAATGAACCAGTTTTGATGTTTACGTCGAACAAAAAGGAATGTAGGGGTGGCCCCCATAGATTTCTGCCTAAAAACAATGTCGCAACATGCAGACAGAACTAACCAGTCAACTGGCATGTGTAGAGCGGTTGACCGCTCTGATAATGAAATTGAGATCCCAGAGGGGATCAACTGTGGACAATAGACTGGTCGTTCAGCCGGTTGACCTCTCTGGCCAAAATCTGAGTTCCAGGTTTTGTGCCCCAACAAATCACAAATCCAAGACTCCTATCCTCTAAAGTTCAATCAGAAATAATCAAATCCACTCTTATCCAAACACACTACACCCCATGATTCATGTACAGGTGACAACAAATTCGAAAAAAATGATTAATAGTTTATTCTATTCGAATTAATTAAATAATTCGAATGGTTAATGTTCAATTGTGTCCCCAACGTGTCCATATCCTCATGTGTCTGATACGTCTACAATACCTATTTTGAAGTGATGGTCTATGTTACATAGGCTCCTCAAAATAATTCAAATATCCATGTCGGACACCTGACACTCGGACAAGGGTATGAGATATGTGTCGGATACTTTTCAATGGACACTTCTTATATAATTGTGCATAACACTATTATTATATGTACATAGTATTGTATAATTGTTATAATATAGTACTATTTTGTCTCACATACTTGATTAAAAATATAAAAATATGACATTTTTTTCCCGAGTCCGCATACCCTTAAATTTACGGTTTGATGAATCCGACTTCTAGATACATACCTTCACCTGACACCCGTACTTCATAGCTGTAAGGTGATCTGTTCAGTCATTAAATAGATTTGGACATTCACTCAAGAGGCAGGGAGGATTTAGGAAAACAGGCTAATGCGGATCCTTTTTCTCGTAGTTTATGGGCTTTTCATAGCTCGACTATCTTGGGCAATGGATTAAATTCTTTCAATTAACTGATTAAAAACCGCTGGGAACAAGTATAATTTTCATGACCCTCATTGAACCCCATTCACTGATACTGGGTAGTATAACCCTGGAAGTGAACACTGAGAAGAGGTTCTAATTAGCAAAACCTCGCAAGTGGTATCTTCATTTTCTTGTCTAGTATTGGGCACTTTGCTATCAGTTCTTATCAAGAGAGTGTTGGCATAGTGTCACTTTCTTATTACATCTGGCAATATTTTTTATTTCGATGCATGCCTATCAGTCTAACTGTGATCATATATTTGCAGATTCTATGCATACATCTGCAACGTGTTTCAGTGAATGAATTTGGAGAGATGGTTAAACTTCAGGTACTGTATCCATGTATTGTTTGGATTTAAGTGGGTAAACTGCAAAAATACCCGCGTAGGTTTCTTATAAATACAGGGACACCCTCTCGGGTTTTGCTTATTTTATACTGAACCCCTTGTTAAAGTTCTGAGCTAACGGTGTTTAATGAAGTACGTATTTTTACATTCTTCTGTTTCTTATTTATTATATTTAACTTAATGTTTAAGAAAATGAATGGGTAAAATGCATTAACATTCCCTGAGATTTGCGCAAATGATAGACGCCTCTAACCTTATGGAAATCAATCCAACCTCTATTGTCAGAGTTTGTTGGACAATGGAGGATATGTAATACCTTTAAAACATATTTAAAAATAATAATTTTTTGATTAAAAGTCAACTAATTACATGAAACAACTCTATCTTTCTCTTTGCCCCCCTGCCCACCCCTTCAACTAAAACCCAGTGCCCCTGTTCATGATGGTCCCATCAGCATGACAACTACCGCTTTTTCCACAAGGCCCACAACCATCAATGCATCTCTTCTTTCAAATTATATTGTTGCTTGATCCTTCTCTATTCTTCATGCCCATCTGATTCCACCAACAAAGACCATGAGTGCTGCTCCACGACTGTCATACTAAGAAGCACAAATACGACATGATATAGATACGCCGACTTGGTAATTTTAAAAAAAATAAAGATATGATACTATAGGGACATGAGCCACATGACAATAGATAAATATAAAGAACAATTTCTTTGTTTTTTAAGTTGTAAATACATTTTTATTTTATTATATCAAAATAGCAAGAATCAAAATTGTTTTTTTGGATCGGCAAAAATTGGTTATTAGTTGTTAGATTAGCACCTGGGGGAGTTGATCCCCTAACCTCACCCTTGCAAGCACCCAAGTGCTGCACCCATGCCACTAGGCCACAAGGCCATTGGCAAGAATCATTTTTTACATTCTCTATATAGGAAAGGAAGTCTGAAAAAAAAGTTCTAATGTCTATTTTAGAAAAGCTCTATTCAAGAACAATTTGGAACTTTTAGGGCTCATGGTTGTGTTTTGTTTTCTTTGTTTGTCAGTTGAAGAAACCTCCGCAGAGATCATTGTAATTTACCCAAAATGATTATCATTAAATTTTGGTGGCTAAGGGCAAATTAGTCATGTTACAATTTTTTAGCATTTTCCATCTAGTATTTTAAGGGACAGTTAACGGAGGGGGTGTTGCTGTATTTTGTCAAGTAACGGCTGTTACTTGTATAAGAAACCTGATGGGGTGTGCTTGTGCTTATAATTCTCATAAACTGGGGAGTGTTAGTGTAATTTACCCTATTTAATTTATCAACGTCTTAAACTATATTTTGGGTGAAAGAAATTATTATCTTTGATCTCCTACAGTTCTTTCTTGTTACTCTAATTGCCTCGTACCTCTCCTATTTTCATATATCAATATTTTGCCTACATTCATCCATTTCCCATCTTTAGATCAGTACTTCTTCTGGCAAGGTTTTGTATTCTAGATGGACTTTAGTTTGTTTCTGAAATATTCTCTAGGATGGTTTTGATTATTTTCATTGGTAATTGCTTTGTTGGTAATACTAGGGCCATGTATCATTTCCGTTGATTTTGAGCATATACCCCTTCATGAAGAGTGGTGTGGGAACAAAGAACTGGGAAGAAAATTTGCAGAGTCTGCAACATCAGCCCTACCACAATCACTTCCGTCTGCAACTTGATACAAGCATGATAAATGGCATTTATGGGCAAATGGGGAAGAACATTTATTCAAAAGCAGCGATTCCAGAGAAATTGGGACAATCTGCATTTGAAATTTCTGTTAACACCCATGGGCAAGCTTTTCAAGGAGAATCAAATGTTCCCCAAAGTGGAGGTTGCTCAGACATCATGGTTGGTGATATAACAATGCAATCTGATAACAAGGTTAGTTGCCTACTTGCTTATATAGAAAGCTTGGTTGGTTTGAATATAGATTAAATATAAATGTCGTAACTTATTTCTAGTGTTAAATAAAGTAAGATATGTACAATGCGGAATTAGTTGAGGCATTAATGAGAAATATGCCCCCCCCCAAAAAAAAAAAAAAAAAAAATCAAGCAGCTACAGAAACTTGAATTTGTTTTTCTTCTCTCTTACAACTAACAACTATTGGCTACCCTTAGGCCATGTGATTCATGCCATAAGGCCTGTGTAGTGTTTCATATGTTTACTTTGGACTTGTACTAGAAATGAGGGGCTTGATCTCAACATTGAAATTTAAATTCGGGTTTATTTTATTATATATATATCTTTGAGAAAATCTATCTGGAGTGACTCTTCAGCTGTTAGTGTTCAAATTTTTCATCTCCAAAATCTTTTGGAATGAGAACTGCTCAAATATGTATCTGAAAGTAGATGTGAAACCACCTATTTACTTTGTCATTATTGTGGGATGAAAACTTGTCTGCATTGTATGTCAAAATTAAATCTGGGTACTTGAATTTGCAGTATTTTTTATTTATTTATTTATTTTTTATATTCAAGAATCAAAATTTTGTTTTGGTATGTCATTTCAGTCCAGTAGGAAGTGGAAATGGCAAAAGAATATGGTGGAAACACATGGAAATTCAAACCTAATCTATTACTGGACAAATATAAGCTGAATGTTACTATTTGAACATGTCAGGACTATACAACCATAAAGATATTGGAAACTAGAATGGAATTGAGTAGTAAAAGAAAATATAAAGTCAATAATCCAAATATATCAATTAGTTCTTTACTTGTTAAAAAAAAAGTATAAAAGATTCCAAAGTTGTTTCTCTTTTAGTTTTGAACTACAATAATAGAATATAATTCACCTCAAAATAATAGATGAACTACATACACAAGTTACAAATTAAATAGGAGAATACATAAGCAAGTTAGGCTGTTACAATTGTAATCTTGAAGTATATTCAGACATTCTTATTGTGTTCTAATTTGAATAACATTGTCTTGATGGAAATTGTGAATTTGGGTTTTCCATTCATGCTCCTTTGCAATCCACTAGAAGTCAAACTATTTTGATGGAAACAAAATGACATTTTGGTGTTGGACCTCTTGGTTATTTTCTCGAGTCGCCCGCATGCCTTCAACTAATAATGGGGGATTTTCATTTAAATAGTTTCTCCCCTCAAATTCGTATTATATTTTGAAGTACTAACTTTTCAACCTTGTCTCTTTATTGGTAAATTAAGAACCTGTTATTGCATTAAAACAGCAAACTGGTGAGCTGTTTCATGTATTTTGCTACTCATAATTTTTGTTTTTGCCTTTCTGTCTTGGTGCAGGTGGATGGGAATTGCCATTTGGCACCTTCACGACATTATATATACTGTTTAGTTTCTGTTGTCCAGCACTTTGGAAGAGCTGCAGGTGGGCATTACACTGTTTACAGAAGAGTGAGAGCCAAAAACGATGGAGGAGGTGACGTTCATTGGTTTTGTATATCTGATTCAGAAGTGTACAGTGTATCAGAGAGAGATGTTCTTGCTGCAGAAGCCAGTGTGCTCTTCTATGAGAAAATTTCAGAACACCCTGAAATTTGCGGGCCATAGTGCAATGTTTTTTGTGAAGTTCAGTTTGTCTCTAATGGCCCACAAGCTTCTCTTGGTGTTCTTGTTCTAGTAAGCCTGGAATCTGCATTTGCATAGGGGGATAGGGGCTTTGAGTGGGGGATTTAAATCATTTGATAGCTTAAAGAAACCCAAAAAAATGTGCATTGGAATATTAGTCTATCAGAGAGCATATATTAAATTCCACTGTTGTTGTATGAGTGAGTTCACAATATTGAGAACATATTTATAGGAAATATGTTTGGATCAAGAGCTAGTTGTATTTTGTTTGCTTTTGTTTTTTGTTTTAATCAACTTTGTAACATTATATACACGTTTGGCTGGTTTTGAGTGAGTGTTACTTGTTGCAGTGATCATATATTTGCTTCCTTTCATAATACTGCCGTGAACAATGATATGAGCTTAAGTGGCTATGGCCTTTCTTTTTTGTTTTTTTTGTTCCCAGTGGTGGAGTTATAAAAAGGCGTGGAAAATTTCACTTTGCTTTCTCCAAGTGTTACACTTGTTCGCCAATTATTACATTTGTGCCATTTTGTATCGCGATTAATAAATTTCAGCGGTTAGTATCTTAAATTAATAAAAAAAATTTCTCACTATGTTCTAAATTGTGAAGGGTGTTAAAATTTTTTGATGAGAATTTACTTCATCCCGCAAATTAAATCAAATTAAGTTTTAAGTTCTAGCAAATAGGTTGGTTGTAGTGGCGGAGTCAGAAAGTTAAATTAAGGGGGCACTTACTAATTACAATCTTGAAAATTTTTATAAAAATATTTCATGCAAGTTTTTGCAATTGATTTCGAGAAATATCAAAAAAATAATGTTATTTATAATTAGTGTATCATGGACAATATAAAAATTTATAGATATAAGTCTTAAAATAAATTATATAATGATAAATTATTTTTTTATACAAAAGTTGATTAAAAATTTAATATAATGGTAATATCACGTCATCATTAGTATGCGATATCACAAACTAATAGTAAATAAATACATAGAGAGTGAACTTCACATGTCAAATGTAACTAGCAACTCCAATAAATTTCATATCTTTATAGTGAGATTACTTATACTTGTATGTCAATAATAATGACATCACCATTACATTTAAAATTTTCATAGATAATATGGTTTGTAGTAGTCTCTTCATTTTCAATCATAACAACCATTATTATTTTCATAATTTTTAAAATGTCATTGACATTTCACTTTAATAATATTTTTGTAATTTTTTTTATTTAAAATATTTTCTTTATATTTATAAAAAAAAAAATACAAAATCTAGGGAGGCACGTGACCCCCTAGTCCTTACGTGGCTCTGCCACTAACGGACCCCCGAGTCCTTACGTGGCTCTGCCACTAGTTGGCTGCATGAATTTTTTTTGTTCACTCGATTTTATCAATAGTCATTGGTTAGACAAATTTAAGAGATTTATATATCTATTTATTATATTAGCTCACCTCAATCTAAACTGTTAATTCCTTTAACATTTTTATTTATTGTCATTTTACCCCTTAAATTATTATACTTATATTATTTTATTACTGGGAAGACGAGGTTCAATCATCCTGTGGAGCATCCGGACCCTGTTCGACCCATTCCTCATCTGACAAAACTACATTATCAATACTTATATTATTTTATTTAATGAGCTATGAATTTTATTATTTTAAACCTTGAACTATTAAAATTGATTTAATTTGTGTCAACTCGTTGGAAGAATAGATCACAAGTGATGGCACAAGGGGTGTTGGGTAGAAAAGAACGCAGTCTCTAGTCAAATCCATGTTGGCTGCCAGGAAAAATAGAAGGATTAAGCTTCTTTTATATTTAAATCTTAACAAGAAAAAATTTGAGTCGTCAGTAGAATTTATATAAATTTAATTTTATTTTAATAATTTAAAATTTTCGTATTTTAAACTTATTGAATAGAATATTGATGTAAAAAATCAAGAATTGTCAGATATCGATAGTTATATGTTTGAATCAAATTTACATTACAAAAAATAGATAGTTATTCTTGAAATTATATTTGTCGTTGACTTTTTTAAAAACAAATATGGTTCAAATATATAACTATTGATATCTAATTATTTTGATTTTTTTTAATCAATATTCTACTTAACGAATCTTTTTTTTAAGGGTAAATTACACCGACATCCCCTGAAGTTTATGTTTATTACAGCCCCCTCACATTTAGAAAATTACATTGAACCCCTTGTTAATTTAATTATATGTATGATGATCATTACAGGAAGGGGAGAACTGTTATGAAACTTTAAATCTCATGGGACAATCTGTAATGAAATTTTAAACCTTAGAGAGGGGGATGTAATTTTCAAAAAGTGGGGGGAGGGAACTGTAATAAATATAAACCTTAGGGGGTGTCAATGTAATTTACCCTTTTTTTAATCAATATTCTACTTAATGAATCTAAAAAAGTAAACGATTCGGATCACCAAAATCAATTTCAAAATGCATCAAGCCCAAACGCTCTATCAAGTTAAGATAACAACTTGATAGAAACTAAATCCAAGATAGCAATACTATAGTTGGATGTGTATTATTGATTTCCTAAGGTGTTAATTATTAAAATAGGTAGTTCATGAACAAAGATGTATTAGTTTGAAGTAGGCTTATCAATTGATCATATTTTATCTCAATCCAAGTTGAAAAATCCGAACCTGTTAAGAAGAAATCGAATCTAATAACTCAATTATTTGAATCCGTCTAATCACATCACTAAGTAAATCAGATAAATAAGGATATGATATGATCCAATTTGATTAATTATCTGATTGATTATCAATTTTAATAATTTTTTTCAATGAAATAAAGACTAATTATTCTGTTACTTTTCCCTTGGTAATTTTTTTCCACAAATTCAAGATCCATGAAATATTTATGATTCTTATTTATTTATTTCATGTTGTTATAATATGAGTGACTCTGGGTGTTGATTTTTGACCACACAACCAAAAGGGAAACTTAGCTGGAGAACACCGGCATAATAGATTAAGTCCAACAACTTGTAATAAGAAGATGAGAATTCCGCGGTGGTTCGTCTACTTGGGGACACTTCGACGATCAAGTCAGTAAAAAATATCTCTCACAGATAACAAATAGTGCTTAAACTCACCAGAAAGAACTTACTTGTGACCCATGAGAGTGCCTTACTTTTATAACTAGCAGTGACCTGATCCCTTTAGAAGCCTCACTTCAATAAACTCAGGCTCAATGCTCATCCTGAACACTCAACTAGATAGAGATAAACTCTCCTTGAGCCTTATCTTTATCCAGATTGAGATCCTCCCTTATTCTAGGACTTTGGTCCCTTATCTGCTTATCTCAAATTTCAGCATCTCCTCAAATAATCTGGCCTAGCCGAGATTATGTCGACAACGTGATCAAGCCACGTGGCACCTCAGCTGACACTTCAGTGTCACCTTAGCCATGTGCTGTCATTCACAAAATACTTCCCCACAATTGCTCCCTAGATTCTATTACCTCGGCAACTTGAGGTGATGGAACCTACATCGTTTGTCCACACTACTGTAGACACCCCATTTTTGACCGTTCACAAGACTTGGACGTCACCGTTTGAACACTCGGTGATCATCCATGTTCGTGTTCGTTTTGAGTTCCCAGAGGTCTCGGCTACGTGCCTTGCCTCAGGATCTCTCAACTCGGTTGTCTTGTGCTTGGTTGGACCAAACACTTGTTGGTTTTTGCTTTGGGAGGTAGAGAATGGCTTGTTGGCCATCCCCACGCCTCACCGGCCATGGCTTGAGGCCACCGGCCATGTCTTCTTGCCACCGGCCATTGGTGATGGCCGGTCGGTACTTTGTGTGGTCGGCCGACCATTTATTTGGCCGGTGGACTCCTTTTCTGGCCGGTACCACCTTTTTGCCTTTTTCAGGCATTATGCATGTTAGCTGTGCCAGCTGGAGTGCACGGGCCTGTCTTGTGTGGAGGAATTTGCACCCTTTGCACGCTTTTGGTCTAGCTTCTTGAGGAAGCTTGGACCTTTGTCTTAGCTTCCTCAAGAAGCTTAGACACCTGTCTCAGCTTCCTAAGGAAGCCTTGGCCCCTTTGCTTAGCTTCTTTTAGAAGCCTTGACCCCTTTTGTTAGCTTCTCTTGGAAGCTTAAGCCTCCATCTTGCTCTATATAGGAGAACTCTCCTTTGTAGGGGTTGAGCAAAAAACCAGAGCTTACATATATATTCTGATATATATCACCTTCTCTCTATTTGATAACTAATTGATCCCATTTTGTGTGTGTTAGAGAGCCAAAAAGTGTGTTTTGTTCTTAGTTTTGCACTAAGTCACCTAGCATTACACCATACTTCGACTTTGGAGGTGTTGAGGATTTGTTCTTGAAGTTTTGAGCTGGTTTTGATCAGAAGAAGGCGGCTAGACTTGCTGTTCTTGAAGTGTTCTTCAAGGGTAACACTATTGCTTTATTTTCCCCAATCTTGCACTAGCTTTTAACCCCCTTTGCATGCTGTTTTGAGCTTTGTATAAAACATATAAAAGTTTTTTTATTTTGTGTTTAACACATTTCATTAAGGTCATTTTGGTGTTGGGGGTCGACCTCCCCCTCTTAGGCCTTGTTTGGCCCTTTTTGTGCTCTCATTGTTAAGCTTTGAATACCTTTGTGCATTGGCATTCTCACCACTGAAATCCAAAGGATTTTCAATGGTGAAGAAGAGGTTTTGAGGTCTTGCATAGGGGAGGGACACCCCTCTCCCTTTGTGTCTCATTTGTTCATGCTTTTGGCTCACAAGGATAGCATGCATGCTTAGTTGTTTTTGGCTCCATTTCAGAGGTTTTTGGGTGTTATATGGTCATATTATATCTATGTCTTTGGTCGGATTTATGGCCCCTTGCATGCACAATGTATTTGCCTTGCATTCCTCCATTTTTCCTAGAAGGGTACCATGCATTTAGGCCTCCGTGCTTGTATGTTCTAGCTTGACTTCATGAAACTTTTGGTCATATTTCATCATGCTTGAGGTCTGTTGGGTACTGATTTGATCATGTTTGCCATGTTTGGTATAGCCTCTTTGCATTTTGGCTTGTAAGCCTTGAGTGTGTGGGTCACTAGCATGCTTAGCTTAGCTTATTCTCAGGATTTGGCATCATTGGAGATCATATTTCAGTCCATAATCTATGCTTGTATGCTTACATTCATCATTCCTTCCATGCCTTGAAGAGGTGTCCTTTTGTGCCTTGAAATGAAGCATTGTGCATGCCTATGTGTTTGAGGCTTTGGGTTGCCAAATCAGTGGGTTTTGGGGTTCATTTGTATATGATAAAACTTTGTTTTGCCTTGAAAAATCCATGCCATGTTTGCTCATGATTTGGCATCATTGG